AAATAGAGACTGTATGTTTCCTCAAAGAGGAACATTGTGAACTCTCCCAGGCCTTTTGGAGATGCCCACAAGCTGCCAATCAAGAGCTGTCTTGACAAAAACCTTGAAACTCAACTCATCTTTAAACCAGGAATCACGGATGGCAATTGAATAACGCGAGGATTATTACTTTCTTTTAAATAGCTGATAAAAATAATTATAATAAAATAGGGAAAACAATCTTTAGAGCCAAATTTCACCAATCTGGAATACAACAAAGATTAAAAAAAAGTGAAAGACATTAAAAAATAGAATTATTATTCAAAAAGATAAATAGAGATACAGTTCGGATAAATGGCTAATCAGGCAAATACAATTATGGCAAACTCTAAAATGTAATAATTCAAATCACGAGAGTCATTTTGCACAAATAGAATACATGTAAAATGAAGTTATAAAAATTGTCAATTTGTTTTCTGACACAACTTGAACAAAATGAGGCATCACAAAAAATGATCAAAAGTGACACCAACCAGAAAACAACAGTAAAGACTATTTTATAATCAAGTGATATATCTTTGGCATTTTTGTATAAGATTATATTAAAACGAGGTTCAGCCCAGCTAAATTGCACTGCCCTGGAAAATTAACATATGCTATAAATTTTGATCAAATTAAAATATTAGTATTTGAGGACCCATTTTTGCAGTACATACTCCATTAGCCTGACAAAACTGAAATTCAGATGAAAATATTGCATATTAACTGACTGATGATATTAGTGCTAGCAATGACAACCTTTGCCAAGTAAGCTTCCGGTATCTGCATTAAGTACATTCAGCAATGCTCAGCTAGAGTAAAACCTTCTTTACTGCACTTAACAACATATCTTTACACATTTCCCAGAAGATCATACTTGATTGTAGCAGAGGGAACTCCAATTCCTACATCAACCAATTTACTGGACTGAATGGTATTTAGCCTGGTTAAATTTTGTTGCGATGGTCAGAATATATTGTCAGCATACATTTGGAGTTCCAGTTTTCTGAAGAATCATTCTTTATATTGCGTACTATACACTATGTTAAATATCACAGAGATGCCCGTTCGGTTTCTGAAAAAGGCAAAGAATTCAGCACTTGCAGCCAGATTATGCTGCAACCACATGTGATAAATTACCCAACAGCACATCATCAACCAGCCCAAAGAGATAACACATCATTAATCTACCATTAGCAAATCCATACTATGTTGTGGAAACTTCATTTTTACACTGCATTTAAAAGTAGATCTTCACCCTATATTCATGCCACTGAAATGGAAATCTCGTTCCAAACCTTTAATATGCCAAGTACACAAGTGATATTTCCAGTTTGGATGAAATTATGAACAGTTTATGTGGTGGACCCAACTGGAGAACAGATTAGTGGCTGTTCAAAAACATTCATGTAAGGCAGCCATCACTCTCGGTTAGATCTTTATAAAGTTTGGTTCCCAAAAATGAACTGACATAATAACAAATAATCACAGCACCCAATGCTACAATAGGGTACACTTCACCAAATCATCTAACAATTATCATTACAAATCATATTTTGTTGGTAGATCAACCTGAAAATTAGCGCACTCTAAAGGCTCTCAAAGAAAATAGATAATGTCCCTAACTGTGGCACTATGGCTTTGCACATCATAAAGGCATCTTAAAAGTTCATGAACATCTGTCCTATTTGCTGATAACAAGAAACTTTGCATGCGTTTGTTTTTGTCCATGATGAAGGGAAGAAACGGCATTTAATTCTTTCTCATATTCGTTTAGCAACAGCAAAATGACAAAGCACTTACAGACTATTATATTGCAATTGGCCTAAATGGTTCAGTGATACAACATGTGCAAGGGATTCGTAACACATGTACAAACCTCGAGACCAAGCTAAGACGTAGATTGCTGACAAAAGACCATAAGAAATAGGAACAGGAGTAATCCATTCGGCCCCTTGGGCCTATTCTGTTATTCTATAGAATCATGACTGATCTGACATTCCTCACATTCACTTTCCTGCCCTTTCTCCGTAAGTCTTAATTCCACGACTAATCAAGCATCTACTTATCTCAGTCTTAAATATACACAAGGACACTGCTTCCATAACTCTCTGTGGCAAGGACTTCCAAAGATTCTCAACCCTCTGAGAATAAATTCACCCTCATCTCAGTCTTAAATTGGCACCCGTTTATTCTGAGCCTATGTCCTCTGGTCCTTGACTCTCCCAAGAGGGGAAACATCCTCTCTGCACTTAACCTATCAAGCCCCTTAAGAATCCTATATGTTTCAATGAGATCACCTCTCATTCTTCTAAACTCCAATGAGTAGAGTCCCAAACCGTTCAACCTCTGCTCCTAAGACAATCCCTCCATACTGGGACAAAACCAGAAGTCGCTGGAAAAGCTCAACAGGTCTGGCAGCATCTGTGAAAAGAAATCAGAGTTAACGTTTCATATCCGGTGACCCTTCCTCAGAACTTAGAACCCTCCATACTGGGGATTATCTTAGTGAACCTTCTCTGAACTGCCTCCAATTAAATATTGTATTGCCTTAAACAAAGGGGACCAAAACTGCTCACAGTAGTCCAGATGTGGTCTCACCAGCACCTTGCACAGTTCAGTGAGATTTCCCTACTCTCATATTCTAACCTCCTTGAAATAAAGACCATTGTTCCATTTGCCTTCCTGATTACCTACTGTGCTTATGTGCAAGCATTCTGTGTCTCACACACAAGTATGCCCAAGTCCCATTGTGTTGCAGCTTTCTGCAGTTTTTTTCCCATTTAAATACTACTGTTTTTTTGTTCTCCATTCCAAAATGAACAACTTCCCATGTTCCCACAAAAGGACAAGGTTAGAGAGAGGGAATCCTCTTCCTTGCACATAGGTACCTAGAAGCACAGTAAGCTCAGGCCAAGCATATGTCTTTGCTAAAGCCTATGCCAGTGTCTTGTGGTAAAGTGCAAGTTTCTCTGCCTATAAGCCAGAAGCTCTAAGTATAAGTCCCACTTCAGAAGTTGATGGTCAATGAAGATGTGTCTGCGATGCAGGCAAAACATGTTGATCATCATCCTGTAATTTGTTTTCTGATATGCCTGTGGCATTCAGTAAGAGCAGGAGAGTCTCCTGGTCAGTCAGCTTTATGTGGAGTGGCATCTCTGAAACTGCAGCATCTGGTGACAGCATACTAACCTCTTTCAGGAACATCATGCTATGGAAACAGACATGCACACATGCCTTGTCTGCTTTATGTGCCCCTAGCCACAAGGGGAGAAGAATGTCTAGTGCAGGAACAGAATTAAACAAAATATGCAGCCTGAAATGTTTAAAACATCACCGTGGCATGTCGCAAGGTATTATGCACATTGACTGGCAATATATTGATGACAGATATAACTTATGAACACACTGAGAACTAAGCAACTCTTGGTAGCTTACCCAGAGACCAAATGTTAGACCTCAGATATCCAGCCATTATCGGGAATTGAGCCACAGAGCATCAAACCAATGTTGATTAAATTCTACACTGCAAAAGACTGAATTATAATGTTCACCTATGCTGTGTTTGGGATGACGGTGGCAATGCACTCCCATTTTGTGGCATGTGGTGTTGATCATGGTATTGCTTATGCATGCTCTTTGTTGCACTTTTCTGGCAACTCAATGTTCCAGTTGGTTATTTTTGTGCAATGACTATTCACTTTAATCGAGTGGCAGGTGCATGGGTAGGATTTCCTTGGAGTCAATATCACAAACTGACTGGTGGAAGATCAAAACCAAGACAATGTTTTGTGGTGTAATCTGAGATATTAAACCAAGCAAGGTCAAACAAAGACACATTGGCTAACGATCAACAATCTGGTTCATTAAATAAACCTGCAGCGATAGAACCCTCACTGGAAAGCTGAATTGGTGCAATTGTAGTGTCCCTGCCTCTTGAGCCAGTGAGGCTTGGGTTCAAGTCCCACCTGCTCCAGAAGCGTGTCATAACATCTCAGATCATATTGAGTACAAAACACACACAACTCTCACTGGGAACTGGAATCCTCCCAAACACCTTCACACAGTTCAACAGGTGAATTCTCGAAGGGGCACGTTAATCCCGGGGAGATCATTAGTGTTGTATGCGGCGGTAGCCGGCTCAACAACTCCAAAATATCTCGTGTGCCATCCAGAAGCACCCCACCCCCAGAGTCTCTGCCCCTTGATTCCATAGCCCTTCACACTCGGGTAGGTTAGAGACGAGGAGCCAGGGATGGCTCTTCATATCAAGTTACGCAAACTGAGGAGGATTTTTTTCTCTCAAAAGCTTGGGTTGGCAACTGACAACCTGTGAAGAGGTTAGCTCAAGTTTCAACGTGGGCATTGTTTAATATGATTCGTCAAATTTGCCCGTTGCCATTTCAATAAAAATAAAGGGAACGTGGTGCCCATACATGTTGAGATGAAATGAGCTTGTTAGGGTGCTTCATCTGAAATCGGTGACGTTAATCAGAGCATAGTCACTGATCTTAGAGACAGTGGGGGATCCTCCCGGCTTCGGTATGAATTCGGAGCCCCCTCCCCCGGGGTGACATTATAGATGGGAGACCATCAGTTCACAAATAAAAACTAACGGGTCAGTTCTCATCCTTCACATTGACTCCACAGGCAGACAGCTGAGTGTGCGGTGAGGGACCCCAGGCAGCTCCACTGTTGCCCCGCAGTGTACCTGAGGAAAGGGACAGTGCACAGCGACACCCCGAGGTCCCGAAAACCCGAGACCCACCCGGGGGAAGGGGGCGTGGGCAGTGCGGGCGGCCACCGCCCGGGCTCAGCGGGCTGCTCTACCCGAGAAGCTGCACCTTGGAGCGGGCCACGCTCGCTGCCCCTCGCCGAGTTAAACAAGCCAATTCAAACACAGCCAGACCGCATCTACACATATCATAGAACACGCTTTATATATATTGCTAAGGTAAAGGGAGAGAATTGAAATCAATTACCAGGCGCATGCTGGCGATTCGGAGTGAAGCTCTCGATGCTGTGCACAGTGTCGGACTGGGAAGCTGTTGGAGTTCTGCACACCGTAGGTATCCGTCAGAGGGAAAGCACGCAGCCCCCCAGACAGCAAGACGGCCAGGCAAACACACAATGAACTACATTGCGTTTGGGGAGGGGGCAAACGGGAAGGCTGGATTTAGCGCAGGGGTCTGGTCACGCTCCAGCAACTGCACAGAAACGTGAGCAATTCATCCATCACATAGTTTAAACATTCAAAAAGTGTTCGCGGTGTTGCCTTTCCAGGGCATTTATGCACATTTAAATCACTTCTTATCCCCTTCTACAAGTAGAGAAATAGCAGATCCAGCTGTAAATCCAATATACAACGTTTCTAATGGGCAGTACTGGATTTTACCAAGGCTTTGACACCTCCTGCTTTGCTTAAAAGAAAATTGTTAAGTTTTGAAGACAAAAGCAAACGTCTTAGGAGGCATAGCGTAAAATGTACCCCATGCATGTGCCCTGTTAGTAGCTAGTTAAAATTATTTTGAAATATAGTCAACATTTTATGTAAATCATTAAATTAGAGGACAATATTGTGAGTAGAATATTCAGGATGAGTCCTCCTGTCATTTAATATACCTGTCTTATTCCAAAAAGTAAGCAACATGACCCTCCAAATCACTTTAATTCAAACGTGGAACCCTTGAGAAAATGAGAGCAAAAAGAGGATATGAGATAGCTTTGGCAGATAAGGTTAAGGAGAATCCAAAGAGATTCTACAAGTACATTATGGGCAAAAGAGCAACTAGGAAGATGATACAATCCCTTAAAGATCGACAAGGTCATTTATATGTGGAACTATAGGAGATAGTTGAGATACTAAATGAATATTTTGCATTAGTGCTTACTGTGGACAATGACATGGAAGCTAGGGAACTTGGCAAAATAAATAGTGATGTCAGGAAGAGTTCATCTTACAGAAGAGGAGGTGCTGGATGACTTAAAATGCATGAAAGTAGATAACTCCCTGGGACCCGGTCAAGTGTATCATAGGATGTTGTGGGAAGCTAGAGAAGAAATTGCAGGGCCCCAAGCAGAGATATTTGCATCATTGATAGCCACTGGCAAGGTGCTGGAAGACTCGAGGGTGGCTAAAGCCATGCCTTTATTTAAGAAAGGCTGCAAGGAAAAGCCAGGGATCTATAGACCAGTGAGTCTGACACCAGTGGTGTGTAAGTCGTTGGAGGGGATTCTGAGAGACAGGATTTACATACATTTGGAGAGTCAAGGACTGATTAGGGATAGTCAGCATGGTTTTGTGTGTGGAAAACCGAGTCTCATAAACTTGATAGAGTTTTTTGAAGATGTGACCAAGAAGCTAGATGAGGACAGAGCGGTAGACATTGTCTACATGGGCTTGAATAAGGCCTTTGACAATGTTGCACATGGAAGATCTCATGGGATTCAAGAAGAGCCAGCCAATTGGATATAAAATTGGCTTGAAGGGAGGAAACAGAAGGTGGTGATAAAGGGTTGTTTTTTGGACTGGAGGCCTGTGACCAGCACTGTTCTGCAGGGATCAGTGCTGGGTCCATGGTTGTTTGTCATTTACATAAAGGATTTGGATGAGAACAAAGGAAATATGATTAGTAAGTTTGTGAATGACATCAAAATTGGTGGTATAATGGACAGTGAAGAAGTTATCTAAGGATATATTGGGATCTTAATCAGCTGAGCTACTGGGCCAAGGAGTGGCACATGGAGTTTAATTCAGTTAAATCTGAGCTGGTATTTTGGAAAGACAAACCAGGGCAGGAATTACACAATGGTAGGGCCCTTGGGGGTGTTTTAGAACAGAGAGACCTAGAGGTTCATGAACATTGTTGCTTGAAAGTGGCATCATAGGTAGAGGGTAGTAAAGAAAGTGTTTGGCATGCTAGCCTTCACTGGTCAGAGCATTGCATTCAGGAGTTGGGATGGCATTTTCCAACTGCACAGGACATTGGTGAGGCCACTTTTGGTGTACTGCATACAGTTCCAGTCACTCTAATAAAGAAAGGATATTATTAAATAGGAAAGAGCGCAGAAAAGATTTACAAATATATTACCGGGACCTGAGGGTTTGAGTTACAGGGAGAGGCTGGATACGCTGGGACTTTTTTCCCTGGAGTGTCGGAGGTTGAAAGGAGAACTTAGAGATTTATAAACTCATGAGGCACATAGATAAAGTGAATTGCAAAGGTCTTTTCCTTTGGGTAGGGGAGTTTAAAACCAGAGAGCATACATTTAAGCTGAGAGAGAAAGATTTAAAAGGGACCTGAGGAGCAACATTTTTACAGAGAGGATGATGCGTATATGGAATGAGCTGCCAAATGAAGAGATAAATGCAGGTACAGTTACAACATTTAAAAAACATTTGGATAGGTACATGAATAGGAAGGGTTTAGAGGGATATACGCTAAAGACAGGCAAATGGGACTGGTTAAGATTGGGAAACCTGGTTGGCAGGCATCTGAAGGGTCTGTCTCTGTGCTGAATGACTCTATGACTGTATGACTCTATTTTCATGTTATTTGCTCGTTCACTCATTTTTAAATATAAATAAAGGAAGAAAAAAGGAGATCAAAGAGAACATTTCTAAAGAAGGGTCCAGACCCAAAACATCAGCTTTCCTGCTCCTCTGATGCTGCTTGGCCTGCTGTATTCATCCAGTTCCACACCTTGTTATCTCAAAGAGAACACAGATGTCTTATAGAATGAGACAGCATGGTTTCATGCAGAGAAAATTGTGCATGACAATTTTACTAGAATTCTTTGAGAAGATAACAAGCAGGATAAATTAAGGGGAATCATTTAATGTAATATGTTTGGATTTCCAAAAAGGCACTCAATTAGTACCACTCCTAAGGCTACTTAATAAGATAAGAAACCATGGTGTTGTGAGCAGTGTATTCGCATAGACAAGGGATTGGCTACCTTATAAAAAACAAAGTTAGGGCAAGGGAGCATTTGAGATAACCTGTATCCTGTGGAGTGCCACAGCAATCAGTTCTGGGCCCACAAATATTTTTAATATATATGAATGAGTTGGATGATGGAAGTGAATTTACTGTCACCAAGTTTTCAGATGAAGCGAAAATAGATCAGAAGGCAAGTAATAAGGATGACACAAAGAGAGGGAAATGGAGAGGCTATGTGAGTGAGCAAAGACTTGGCAGATGGGATATAACGTGGAAAGTGTGAGGTTGCGCACTTTGGCAAGAAAAATAGAGGAGCTGAATATTAATTAAATGGAGAAAGACTGCAGAAAGCACAAAGGGAACTTGGGATCTCCATTCATGAATCACAGAAAGATAACATAAAATTTCAATGTGTAATAAGGAGTACAAATTGACTGTTGGCCTTATTTCAAAGGAAATTGAACGCAAAAATAAAGAAGTTTTGCTAAAACTATATAAGGCACTAGTTGGACCACACATAGAATATTGTGAACAGTTTTAGTCACCTTTTCTGTGGAGAGCTACACTAGTATTGGAGGCAGTCTAGAGAAGGATCACTGGCTGGATCCCTGGAATGGAGGACTTTTCTTATGAGGACTGGTGACTAGGTTGGCCTTTTAACTCATTGAATTTCGAAGAAGGAGAGAAGACCTTACTGAAACATATAATACTCTTACAGCACATTACAGGGTAGATGTGGAGAGGGTGTTTCACCTTATAGTAGAGTCTGGGATCTGAGGGCATAATTTCAGATTAAGGGTCACCCATTTAAAGCAGAGGTAAAGAGGAATTTCTTCTCCCAGGAATTAGGGAATCTGTGGAATTCTTTACCACAAAGGGCTGTGGAAGGGGAATCATTAAGTATTTTCAAGATTGAGGCAGACAGATTTTTAATCAGTGAGAGAATCAAGGAATGTAGGGGAAAGGCAGAAAAGTGGAGTTGAGGATTATCAGATCAGTCATGATCTCATTGAATGGCAGAGTAGATTTGATGGGCTGAATGGCCTATTTCTCCTTCCATCTCTTATGATCTTATTTTCTCAATGTTTGGAATGAGTAAATCAGGAGTTCTCACAATAGTGGGAACTATTAGCACTCACATCAAGAGCAGTCTCAGCTGTGGCTACGCTGTCCAAAGTCACCTGAATCAGAGGGTTGTGAGCCCAGCCCCCTTTCAGAGATCTGAACATACATGTCTTGGTTGAGAATATTGAAGGAGTGCTGCCCTGTCAGAGGTGCTGTCTTTCCAAAGATAATAAATTGAGGCTGCCTCTGCCATGTTTTTGAACGTAAAAGATCCCTTGGCACTATTTTGAAGAACAGCACGGACATTAACCTCAGTGCCCTTTACCGTTCAGGATGCTTGCTGTGTGCAAATTGGCTGTCCTGTGTCCTATAATAGCAATTACAAAACAAAAACAGATTATTGGCTATAACATGTTTTGGAAAATCCTGAGATCATGAGAATGCATGACGTTCTACCCAAAAGAAAGAATATCGAAGTTTGTTTGCCAAATGATGCAATAGATTGTGAAAACCAGCCTTTGTAGCGCTTGGATTTTTAAGTCACTATGCATTTAAAATATGGAAACAATAAACAATTTGCTATCAGAAAATAGACCTCCTGTAAGTGTACAACATGTATGAATATTTTTAATGCAAATTTTCTGTTCATTCTCAGTAATAGGCCTGAGGCAAAGACTGTTTGCCTAGAAACTGTATATGCTGGAAACATGATTCTAAAGCGAAACCACCACAGGAAGAGTTAATTTCCATCATTTTTATTTTACAGGTGGGGCCAGTTAAATATTCTTATGAAAATGAGTGGTCTGAGGGAATGCCAGCCAAGGACCTTTTTAACCCTGCAGCTGATTTCAAACTGTTCAAATCCATCAAATGCAACCTGGAAGATGTTTCTAAAAGTGAACTCAAATCCATGCCCCTTTTAGTTATTTAAAGTGATGTTCAAATTATCCACCAATCTTTTAAGATATATACTTGAATTTACAATTGGCATAAAATAA